TTCCGGCCGCGAATGAATTCTTTTAACAAAGGGTTTCCATCACGTACATGTACATCTGCTGTTTTTAAACATAAAAAAAATTATAAAGTATATTTTTTCTCTTTAAAGTGTACCTGATAGAGATATGTAAACATATTTTTCATTACTTTTAAACTCTTCTTTAAAAAAAATGTTGAAATTAGAACCTCTTTTTGACGCTCTAGAGTGGTTTAACCCCTTAAGTGACCCAGGTCAAAATTTTAAATGTTTGGGATCGGGTTAAAATTTTGCAGAAACAGTAGTCCTATTAGATACAATTAAAAATACCAAATATTATTAATTTATTTAAACAAATATTAAAACTGGAGGGGGTCAAAGTTTAAATTTTTGGTCTAACATGGAATATTTGAAAAATTTGTAGTTTCTTTAAAACAAAACGAAAATACGTTTTCTATTTTGGGTTTTTCTGCTGTTTTTCAACACTCTCTAATGGTGTAAACAAATGTAGAGAAAAAAAATGTTAGACCTTGAAAAATTAAATTAAAAAATAAAATTTCATTTTTTCATCAAATGGACAGTTTTTATTTTTTAAAAAAAATTTTTATCATAAAGGTGACGTTTTTTCCTAAAAAAATGTATAGGTCAAAACGTGGGACAAGAACTTTTAACTGGTCAAAATAAACATTTACTTCTGCAATCCACCGCCCCTGCTCGTTGTTGGGCTATATATTGTTTATAACAATTGAAATAAATTATTTTATGCTTTATTAATTATCTGGTGGTCATATTGGATGAATTTAAATTGATTTAGATCATGTGCATCAACGAAATAAGAAAATAAACCTCCTTTTTTTAAAAAAGTGTATTAATTTGTTAACTTTGATTTAAAAAAAATTATAAATAATTAAAATCTCCAAAATCTGCATCGAAGGATGTCTTAAGAATTTATTCCCCTTTAACTTAAGACAAAGAACACTCAAATCGGTTAAAAATTGTAAGCTATAGACATTTTTTAATAGTAAATTGTAAAAAAAATTCCACTGTGGGACGGTGCACGGCAGAAGTAAATGCTTAATTTGACTAGTTAAAAGTTCTTGTCCCACGTTTTGACCTATACATTTTTTTAGGAAAAAACCTCACCTTTATGATAAAATTTTTTTTAAAAAAATACAAACTGCCCATTTGATAAAAAAATGAAATTTTATTTTTTAATTTAATTTTTCAAGGTCAAACAATTTTTTTTCTCTACATTTGTTCACACTATTAGAAAGTGTTAAAAAACAGCAGCAAAACCCAAAATAGAAAACGTATTTTCGTTTTGTTTTAAAGAAACTACAAATTTTTTAAATATTCCATGTAAATTTTTGACCTGGGTCACTTGACGTGGAACCCGTCATATAGAGATGGGTTATTGTAATGAAATGAACATTACACGTGATCATTCTTATGTAAAACTTTGTGAACATAAAGTTAACAGTGAATTATTTATAAAATCAAAAACTAATGATGATTGTAATGATTCAAGAAATGTTACAAAATATACTAATTTAAAAAATGAAAATCAAGTAAAAAAAAGATCAATAATACGTTCTTTAGAGGAAGAAGAACAACATCAAGTCATGAAACGTCAAAAGAAAGCTGCTTATCAAAGAAAGTTTCGACAAAAAAAACAAGAGAATAATAGAATTCTTAACCCTCAATCACTTCAAACAAAGGACAGTATTATTAGAGTGTCAAAATCAAATATAAATTCAGAAAAATCCTCTACAACTGTTACTACATCTTTGTCAAAAGATAATGTAACTGTTACAGCAAATTTAGCAAATACTAATATTTCCGGTCTTTAAAAAAATGTAGCTTATCAAAAAACTCATAGCCAAAAAAACGGGATTTTGCACAGAATCAAAATTTCTCTGACAGTATTTCAGTCTCGCATATAGAAGAACATTTTGCTGGTGCGATGAACATTTCATGTGAGTATTGTGATGCTAAACATTTCCAAGCAGAAAGAGTATCTAATAAAAAAAACTCATTTCATGATTGTTGTAAACATGGCGAAGTCATTCTTGAAGATCTACCTGCTCATATTATCACTCATATTACAAAATTTATTTGATGGCACCCACGAATTATCTGGAAATCTTCTTCATAATATACGACCTTACAATAATTCATTTGGTTTTGCTTCTTTCAACGCTAACTTAGTTAATTTTAACAATAGACGACCAGGACCATATTGTTTCAAAATACATGGTCAGGTTTATTATCAAATGAATACATCTTTGTATAAAGAAAGAAACGATACTCCTTCATTTGGACAGTTATTTATTGTTGATCAAAACGAAGCTTCCGAAATTCGTTGTAAGAATAATGTTCAATTAAACCGAGATATTGTTGATGGAATTGATACAGCCCTTCGGGATTGTAACCTATTTGCACAGTCCTACCGTATGATGCATGAAGAAATTAAAAAAACAATGACTGAAAATAATGCAGAAATTGAGCCTGAGATGCAATTATTATTTTCATTAAAGCCTGGGATGGATAGTAGACGTTATAATTTACAAAGTGTCAATGAAGTTGCAGCAATTTTTACTACAACTGCTGATGGTGATATTCCAGAATCATATGTTACCGTATATAATAAGAATACAAAAAGTTTACAATATATAAGTTCTATGAATCCCAATGTTGAGCTATGGATATATCCTTTATTCTATCCACATGGAACAAGAGGTTGGGACAAAAATCTGACCTGCGCTAATACAAATAAACGTGTATCAAGAGCTGCATACATCAGGCATAGAATGGCTTCTAGGGACAACAATGTATTTTTAAAGGGTGGTAGATTATTTCAGCAATGGATTGTCGACAGTTATGTGAAAATTAAAAAGGTAGGACAAATTTCTGTCGAAATAATCAAAAGAAACTTCGTGCAGATACTTACGAAGGTCTAATTGATCATTTACAAAGAAGAGCTGATGATTCGAACAATGAAGTTGGGAAAATTGTAATACTTCCATCATCTTTCACAGGTTCTCCGAGAAATATGTTACAGCATTACCAAGATGCAATGGCTATTGTGAGAAAATTTGGTAAACCTGATCTTTTTATTACGATGACGTGTAATCCAAACTGGCGTGAAATTAAGGAAAATTTATTACCTAACCAAACTGCCTTTGACAGACCAGATATTGTATCGCGTGTTTTTACCATAAAAAAAGATAAACTTATTAATACTATTGTAAAGGAACAATTATTTGGCGAAGTGATTGCTTATGTGTATGTCATTGAATATCAAAAACGTGGATTGCCGCATATGCATTTATTAGTGACTTTGAAACAAAATTATAAAATAACAACACCCGAGATTGTAGACAAATATATTTCGGCAGAAATTCCAAGTCAATCAGAAAATGTTATACTTCATGACATCGTTATGAAAAATATGATTCATGGCCCATGTGGAAATTGGTGTAAAGATAATAATAGTAAATTTTTGAAAGGTTTCCCAAAACAATTCTGTTCTGAGACAATAATGGATGAAAACGGATACCCAACGTATCGCTGCCTTAATACAGGACAATACGATCGCCTAAATGGAGGAACTACAGATAATCAATACGTTATTCCATACAATCCTACATTACTTCAGTTATTTAATTGTCATATTAATGTAGAAGTAGTTTCAAGTATTAAATCCGTAAAATATTTGTATAAATATATTTTTAAGGGACATGATGCTGCTGCTGTAGTAATTACCGATAGTGGTAATAATACAAGTTCTTTAGAATATGATGAAATAAAAAACTTTATTGAAACTCGATATGTTAGTCCTGCTGAAGCATGTGATAGAATATTTGGTAGACCATTACAGAGTAAAAGTCATTCTATTCTCCGATTACCTGTTCATTTAATTAATTGTCATACTGTAACCATTAGTGAAGAAGCAAATCATGATGCTATAAATGAAGCTTTACAGAAACGGACTATGTTATTAGAATATTTCGATTTAAATAGGCGTGATCCACAAGCTAGACAATATACATATGCAGAAATTCCATGTTATTATGTTTTTAAGAAAGAACGTGGAGAAAATGCATTAAAATGGGTGAAGCGTAAAGGGTCATTTAATGTCATTGGACGGATGTATTCAATTTCGCCCAGTCAATCAGAACTGTTTCATCTTAGATTACTTTTAATAGTAGTTAAAGGCGCTACAAGTTATGATCATCTGCGAACTGTCAACAATATTGTACATGACATTTTTCGTAGTGCTTAGCATTAGGCCTTATTGAAGATGATGGAGAATGGGAACGTGCTTTGACAGAAGGAGAAGTATGGATGATGCCACAACAATTAAGACGTTTATTTGTGCGTATTTTAATTTATTGCCATCCAGTTCATCCAAACGAACTTTGGGAAAAGTTTAAAGAGGCTATGTCTAAAGATTATCAGAAAAATTATCCATCTAATGAAGCTCATAAAAGAGCATATAATGATATAATTAACTTTCTGTTGCATGAAGGATCAAATATTCGCAATTTTGTTTTGAAATGATACACTTAAATGAAATAAGTATTGAAACAGAAAATCAAACGAACAACAAAATGTCATTACAACAACATAAAGAGATTGGTGAAATGCAATATGTGAAACTGAATTCCAAACAGAAGGATATTGTTGATGAAGTATTAAATGTAGTTATCCAAGATAAAAGAATACCATCTTCTTCATGTTATTACATTTATGGACTAGGTGGATCCGGAAAAACTTTTGTTTATACAACTTTATACCATTTGTTAAGAAGTAAAGGAAAATGTGTTTGTACTATGGCATTTACAGGCATTGCCGCAATATTACTTCCCCGTGGTAAAACTGTACATAAAACGTTTGGGATGCCTGTTCCATTGTTCTATGATTCTACATCAAATATTAAAGGTCAATCTAAGGAAGCTACATTTTTGAAAGAGGTTGATGTCTTTATTTGGGATGAAGCTCCAATGGCGCCAAGATATGCTATGGAATTAATTGATAGAACATTACGCGATTTTATGAATGTTGATATGCCATTTGGTGGAAAAACTATGCTTTTGGGTGGTGATTTTAGACAATTATTGCCTGTTCAAGTTAATGCTACGAGAAGCAAATTAGTTAATTTATCTATTAAATCTAGCACATTATGGAGCCATTTTAAGGTGATATCATTAACAGAAAATATGAGAACTTTACCTGGTAAAAAAGAATTTTCAGAATATTTATTATCAGTTGGAAATGGTACTTTAAATGATAATGATAATAATATACTAGCACCAGAGCAATGTGTAGAAAATGGTGATATCATTCATAAAATATTTGGAGAATAAATTATCAATAATAAATACGATGATTTAGCAAAAGTAGCAATATTGTCTGCTCGAAATGTTGATGTTGATGAAATTAACAACAAGGTACTCGAACTGTTTGATAATAAAAGTGAGCGAATTTATACAAGTGTTGATAGTACCGAAAATTGTGATAATGGAAGTATAAATGATGCTATTTTACCAGAGTATTTGAATACATTAAATCCATCAAATTTCCCGCCTTATGAATTACGATTAAGAGCCAATTGTATTGTCATGCTACTTCGAAATCTTAGTATTAATGAAGGTTTATGTAATGGAACGCGAATGCAGGTATTAGAACTATCAAACAATCTGCTACGTTGTCGTGTTTTAACAGGTGATAAGGTTGGAGATATTGTATTTATAAATCGTATTACGCTGTATTGTGAGGATATTTATCCTTTTACTTTCAAACGACGGCAATTTCCTATAAAATTAGCATTCGCAATAACAATAAATAAAAGCCAAGGACAAACTTTTGACAAGATTGGTGTAGACCTTCGTAAAAATGTATTTAATCATGGGCAAGTATATGTTGCATTTTCACGAGTTAAATCTTGGGAATCATTAATTATATATTTAGGAAATCAAAGACCTAATTTACTAATCAAGAATTATGTTTACACTGAATTATTGAAATAAAAGTAAATATTTTTTCTATAAAAATGTCTGAGTCGTTATATATTTTTTTTCTTAAAAAAGGAGTGTGTCTCAGTATGGCTGTCTTTACGCGTAAGACTTTCTTCGACGCTTCTTATTGGTAAATTATGTCATTTTTTTGTAATAAGATTCACACGTTAGATTTCTTTTCACGTTTCTTTCTTATCAATTGGTCAAAGACGTTTTAATTTCCTAATTTCAAATAATAGTTCAAACTTTAGATAATTAAGACACTTATTTGTACGTATTTTAATGTACTGCCAACCAGTTCATCCAAATGAACTTTGAAAAAAGTTTAAAGATAATATTTCTCAAGATTATTAACGAAATTTTGCATCCCATGAATCTTATAGAAAAGCATATATTGAAATAAATTATTTTCTTCGAAATGACGGAGTACTTACATTTTTTGTATAATATTTACAGAAACCACACTTATATTTCTTTTTTATAGCAAAAGTAGGAACGATTTTAAGAAACAAAAGTAAATTTTTAATTTAATATCCTCTGTTTATGGCTTTCTTTGACAGTAGAGATTGTTGTGATTATTTGAACGATTCGCGCTCGAAGTGCTGCCACCTTTATTATGTTTGTGTCTCTATTTCACTCACTGACTCTCTGACTGTCGTCTTTGACTATTGTCTCGAATGTATATCTCGCCTATCGCTTATTCTAATGTTTCTCAATAAATAGTGTGATCAGTGTTCATTTAAATAATATTCTTTTTGTTTATTTCCACGGCTTATCTAATAATAGGTTATGGGCCCAGATAACCGGAATGTACGTTAAAAGCAAAAAGTGAAAATCATAGGAACGAATTCTTTTCAGTGCGTTTAACGAGAAGTGTGACGGCGTGGTCGTGTAACAGTAAAACTGTAAAAAATGAGTGCATCTACCTTTTCGCGTATCGAAAGTCTGAACAAGGAGAACTATGACACTTGGAAGATGCAAGTGGAAGCCTTGCTCATTAAGAATGATGCTTGGAGGTATGTAAATGGTGACAATAAGATGCCAACAGGAGAAGCGGCCACGGCAGACGCCATTAGATTCTGGAGCGACGCAGATAGTAAGGCAAAATCGGATTTAATATTGTCTATTCACCCGTCAGAGTTGAAGCAGGTAAAAGGTTTGGTTACGTCACGGGAAGTTTGGTTAAAGCTGGAAAACATTTATCAATCAAAGGGGCCTGCTCGAAAGGCCACTTTATTGAAACAGCTGTTGCTACACCGGATGGAAAATGGCGAGGACATTCGCGAGCATGTTAGGAAATTCTTCGATACTATAGATAAATTAAACGAAATGGAAGTTGACATTAACAAAGATTTGCAAGCAATTATGTTGTTATATAGTTTACCGCCATGCTTTGAAAACTTTAGGTGCGCGATCGAGTCGAGAGACGATTTACCATCGCCGGAGGTACTTCGAATAAAAGTGATAGAAGAAAGTGACGCCCGTAACAGTGATATTCGCGGAACGACACAAAACGCAATGTTTACGAAACGGTGGAATCAAAAAAAGAGTACGGTGAACAGTAGTGCTAATGGTAAACAGAAATCTTTCAAATACAGATGCCACAGATGCCGAGAAATTGGTCATAAAGCCGTTGACTGCCCAAAGAAAGATGGAAATACGCGTTCTACAGCAAAAAGTGCGGAAGACGACGTGATACTCTGTGCAATTGAGTGTTTCCCGGAAAAACAAATGCATGAAGTGTTTAAAGCTGAAAACTGTGCTGGTGATTCTAAGTGGTGTGTGGACAGTGGAGCCACTTCACATCTATGTTACGATAAACAATTATTCACAAAAATTGACGTTTCGAAACGCGGAAAATTAAACTTGGCGAGTAATCAATCTACGGAAATCACAGCTAAAGGAAACGTGTCCTTTGCTGCTGAACTTGACGGTAAAGTTAAGAACGTTAACTTAACTGAAGTGTTATTCGTTCCCGATCTACGAACAAATTTATTATCGATCTCGAAAATGACGGATAAGGGATGTGAAGTTTTATTTACTAAAGATTGTGCGACCGTGATCGGAAGTGACGGAAAAATTAAAGTAACGGCAAATCGAGTCGGCGATTTGTACTACATTTGCGAATTAAAACAAGAGCCGTGTCGGAAATCATTGGAAACTGCAAATTCAAGTGAAGTTGAATCGTCTAATTTAATCGCGTGGCATCGTCGCCTTGGTCATCTAAACGTCAGTGATCTTCGAAAAGCACAACGGGATAACGTTATCATCGGTTTAGACGTCAAGGAATTCGGAAATAATTTTGAGTGTGAAGTTTGCTTACGAGGAAAGATGACGCGTACTCCTTTCCCAACGAGATCTGATCGGAAAAGCGAAAATCTTGACATTATTCATAGTGATTTATGTGGACCCATGCGTGCTGAGTCCAAGGGTGGTGCGAAGTACTTCATAACCTTCATTGACGACCGTTCGAAGTGGTGCGAGAAACGTTTTCTCAGGAAGAAAAGTGAATCCTTCGAAGCTTTCAAAACTTTCAAGGCTCTCGTAGAAACACAGAGAAATGGAAAAATCAAGTACTTACAGTCGGACAACGGAGGAGAATACATCTCTACGGAATTCAACGAATACTTGGAAAAATGTGGTATTCAAAGAAGACTCTCCATTCCGAACAATCCGGAACAAAACGGAACCGCAGAACGGAAGAATCGAACTCTTCTTGATGTAAGTAGATGTCTTCTCATCCAGTCACAGTTACCACCATCCTTCTGGGCAGAAGCAGTTGCGACTGCGAATTATATTCGCAACAGGTGTCCAACGAGAAGTTTAAATGGACGCACTCCTCATGAAGCGTGGACCGGCAAAATTCCAGACGTCAGTCATCTGAAGGAATTTGGAAGCAGCGTCTACATCTTGAATAGAGATTCAACTAAGGGGAAGTTCGACGAACGCGCCATTAAAGGAGTCTTCTTGGGTTATTCGCAGGATTCTAAAGGATATAGAACGTGGATTCCAGAAAAATCGAAGATTGTGGTATCACGAGACGTCAAGTTTCTTGATCAATCATCAAGATCAACGGATCATCAGTACGAAAACTTGTTTCCGGAAAGTTATATGCAAGAGGATGACAAAATTCCACATATCGCTGATATCGAGATTAAACCTATCCAAAACAACCAAAATAACGATCAATTTCTTCAGGAACCGGCGGAGAATGAAGCTGAGGAAGATGAATCTGAAATCGAAGAAATTGAAGATCTTGAACGAGATGAACCGAACATCGAATTTGTCAGAGGTCGAGGAAGGCCTGGAAAAGAATATACAGGACAACGATGAAGACCTAGGAAACGGTACAATATGATAAGAAATGAAACAGCATCGTTTGCTCAAACGCAAGAAGCTCTCACAGCGGAAATCCCCATCAAGTCAGCAGTTTCAGGACCTGATCGAGAAGAATGGCTAATAGCAATAGGAGAAGAAGCCAAGTCCATTTTGAAAAAGGATACTTGGATACTTGTGAATCGACCTCTCAACAAGAAAATTATAGGAAGCAGAATTGTTTTAAGGAATAAATGTAGACCAGACGGATCTATTGACAGACGAAAAGCACGCATTGTGGCTCAGGGGTTCGCTCAGCAACCGGGAGTTCACTTTAACCAAACTTTCGCGCCGGTAGCTCGACTAAGCTCCATTCGCCTACTTATCGCTCTTGCTGCAAAATATAAAATGAAAATCAAACAACTGGATGTTACAACCGCATACCTGAACGGATCCATCAAAGAAGAGGTATTCATGGAAGTTCCTAACTATTTTACCGACGCCTTAGAAGTGATTATTGAACGAGAACGAATCGACAACGAAGTGAAAACAAAAGCAAAATGTATGCTTGAAGATTTAAGGACGAACGACGTGGTTTGTCTATTGCAGAAATCCATTTATGGACTTCGTCAGGCTGGACGAAACTGGTATGAAAAATTCGACGCATTACTAAAAAGATTCGGTGCTACTCCAACCAACGCAGACCCTTGCGTGTATTTCGTAGGACAAGGGGAAGACGCTTTGTTTATCATCGTTTACGTAGACGACATATTAGTAATTTCGAAGAAGAGTAATAAAATCGACAAATTGAAGGGATTTCTTTCATCAGAACTGGAATTAAAGGATCTTGGCAAACCGAAATACTGCCTGGGAATCGAGTTTTCATACGAATCCGATTGCATCGTTCTAAAGCAAACAGGATATATTCACGATCTATTAATTCGTTTTGGCATGACGGATTCGAAACCCGTCAGCACCCCGATGGATCTCAACGTGAAGTTGATCAAACCAGATCAAATCTCAGAAGATGAAAACAGATTGCCGTACCGCGAACTAGTGGGTGCATTAATGTACTTGGCTGTGGGCACGAGACCTGACATATCCCATACCGTCAGTGTCTTAAGCCAATTTAATAACTGCTATGGAAATATGCATTGGACAGCGGCAAAGCGTGTTTTACGCTATCTAAAAGGATCAGCGGAACTGGGATTGATTTTCAAGCAGGACGAAGAGACATTGAAGGGATTCGTGGATGCCGATTGGGCTAATTGCCTAATTGATAGACGATCTTATACAGGGTACACATGTATTTTGGGAAGCAGCGCAATCTCATGGGATTCCAAGAAGCAACAGACCGTTGCGCTTTCATCCACTGAGGCGGAGTACATGGGGTTGACGGAGGCTGGAAAAGAAATTATACACATTAAGAGATTTCTATCAGAATTAGGATTTGAAAATTTATCGGATACAAATCTTTTCAACGATAACATGGGAGCTCAGAGGCTGGCCGAGAATCCAACGTTTCACGCCAGAAGTAAGCATATTAGTGTGAGGCACCATTTTATCCGAGAGATATTACAAAACAATCTACTGAAATTGGAACACGTCTCTACCGAGGACATGATAGCGGATATAATGACCAAACCGCTGCCTAAATCAAAACATCAACGCTGCTTAAAGGGAATCGGACTTGGAACCTTAGAACCGATTAACGAATGATCGAACTCTCATCGAGGGGAAGTGTTGTGATTATTTGAACGATTCGCGCTCGAAGTGCTGCCACCTTTATTATGTTTGTGTCTCTATTTCACTCACTGACTCTCTGACTGTCGTCTTTGACTATTGTCTCGAATGTATATCTCGCCTATCGCTTATTCTAATGTTTCTCAATAAATAGTGTGATCAGTGTGTAATAATTTTATATTTTCGTTATTTAAAATTTAAATGAATTAAAAGCAATTGATATGTCAAATAAAATTAAACAATTAGTCAATGTTAATTAATCAATAATAACGTTTCAAATCACAAATATATTACAAATTAAAAATGACTTCTCTTAATGGATATTATTTCGGCGATAATAAATAAACAAAACACAATAATAGAAACAACAGAATAATGAAAACAATAAATAATGAATATATTATAAATTTATTAATCGTTAGGCAAGGGACGCGTCCTAACGAAGATTATGATTAATTTTAATTGATATTTATATAATTCGTTAAAATTATTGAATTCTCGGCCACTCTCGAAAATAGTCATTCATTCCACGTTCACATTCATTATATAAATATTAACAAGAAAACATATAAACATTTAGAGAAACCAAATTGACAAAATGCAATTTTAAAATAGATAATAAATATTAAAACTTATCGCTCGACGATCGTCATCCAGAAAGCAATCCTTATCCTAGGAATCTCGAGAGTGCGAATCGGGTCGTCACAACTGGCCTTGCGGGCGGGAGATTGAAATATTGTTGATAAAGATATATAGATAATTTCAATCCCAAATTTTGTATCCGTGCACCGGATGGACAGCATTCATATGTCCACAGTGTGACCTTCCTTATTCCTCCGACTTCCTCGATTCCCAATATTTATTTTAAGAATTGAAAATTATAGTAAAAAAAATGACGCCACGCTATAAAAAAGATTTTAATTTAAATGAATATTTTTAATGAAATTTTACTATTAACCGGAATTATATTTGATCTGTTCACCTCTGAGCCATCGGCGATGTGCAGAGGATGACGCCTTCAATTTCAGCGATTGAGCAAACAATGGTATCGAGGAAGTCGAAATCGGCCTTTATCATAATTTCAAAATCCCCTCCTACCAGTTTACAAATCTGGCGCTTATATAATTTTTCCGATGTTTCTCGAGATTCCCGCACTCTTTTGCGAATATTCACGATTCTTCATCGCTTAGACTCATCCCCCCTTTCGCCTCATCACTATTACTCTTTCATTCCCCCCCTTGCTCCGAATTAATAAATTAATTCGAAGCAAAATATACAATTTTGGTAACATCTTTTCTTTCCTTCACATTATACGACAACTATTATATAATTCGAATTCAGATACTATTACAGCATTCTTTTAGGCATAGAAAACCATCGAAGATACATAATTCATCAGTTCTTAGATACATACATCTCTTTAAATTCACGTCGACCATGATAATTTTATTTTGGCCATCACGCATTAAATATGCTCACATATGTATGATTGTCGCAAAAATTTTCACTCACCACACAAACATGATCATAATCCAATTACAAGATTTATTAAATTTTATTATCATGTGAATCAAAGAATATACAGATCAAGACCTTGAAGAAAATACTTTTATTTTATTTCCTATATATTTTCGTAATTTTCATGCTTTTTCCGATTTATATTTTTTTAAATTTATTTGATGGTGGACCCCTATTTCTTTGTCTTGATTCTCAGGATCACCCAGCTTAAAGGACCCATTACCATAATCTTTCAGAATAACATACGGACCGTAAAACAAGTGAAAGAATTTGCGCGTTACTTTTTTCACCGCGTCTGATTGTTTTGGAACATGCAGAAGGACTAAATCTCCTTCGCACAAATTAATCTTGGATAGATGTTTCTGATTTTTAGATCTTCTCTCAAAACTCTTAACTAATCGATCTCTCGCGATACCTATTTTAGCTTCTCTCGATATGACTTCCGCTTCAGGAAATCTGATAATGTCCATTACTCGATCCCGTGGACCCTTCCCAAATTGCAACTCAAGAGGTGAATAGCCCGTGCTAACATGGGTTGTTGCGTTTAAAAAAAATTCAACATCAGGCAAACATTTAACCCAACGGGTATGTCGATCTGCGCAAAGCGTACGAAACAGGCGGCCCAGTTCCCTCATTACCCTTTCCACTGGATTTCCTTGTGGATGACGGATGGAAGAGAAGATAACGTTAACCCCCGCCTGCCGCAACCAGTGCTGCCAACTTAGTATATTTTATACTAGATTTAGTATAATTCACATGACGTTTAGTATCTAAAATTTTGATCTAGTATCTAGTATAATCTTTAGTATATTTGAGAAAGTTCTGAATTTTATCATCAACACATGTTTTCTGTAAAAATGTACAGATTTTTTCATTTTTAAATTTTCATAATTCCCGGTTCTTTAGTCACCTTAATGTGTTATGGAGCACTCACAGCTCTGCCTGCCTGCGCAGGCAGTAATTGGAGTAAGAGAGAAAGTCAATTAGAGTGAAAGAGACAGTAAATTCAAATTTGTATTGCTGCCTACTAGCTGTGAGTGCGCCTTTAAGGGGACACCTAAGTGGAAAAATGACAAAAAAATCGATATTTTTAAATTTGATTTTCTAAAAGTAGACTCAATTAGGAATAGAACAAGACTTCACACTAAAAAAAAAGTTTTACTTTCAGCCTATTTTTGAGGCTGAATTTAAGGTGTAAACGGAGTCAGCCCCGTTAAACAAGGACAGACTTATGTGAAATACATGGGCTGAATTTAAGGTGTAAACGGAGTCAAACTTTTTTTTTCCTGTGTTTTTAAAACCTTTTCTGAAGAGTAGAAAAAAATCTGATTACATGATTCTGAATACCATGAGTTTTTAGTATTTTTTCTTTTTTCGTGTCTTTTGTCAAAATTGTTTTTTTACAATTTTTTAACTTTCGGTACACTTTTCTCCGAATCTACTAAACCAATTTGTAATTTCTTTTTTTTACTTTATTCAGTAAGGTTCCAAGAATACGAATAAGAAGTTTAACATCATTTTGAGTTGTACAAACGGAGATATGAGTCAATGAATCAGAGAAAATGGGATTTTTATTTTGCTTTGGGTATAAATATTCATAAAAAAGTTTCTATTGAAGATAACGTCGTATTACTTCTTATTCATATACTTGATTATATTTGTAATCGAATAAAAAAGGGCGAACGCAATTGCAATAATAGTTTTCGAGAAAAGTGTACCGAAAGTTGACTCTTTTTGCATTGTTTTTAGGTGACTTAGGTGTCCCCTTAAACAAAATTGTTAAATTTATTTTAAATATTTAATGAATGTAAAATATTGTTTTAAAGTGCTATATTTTATTTAAGTAAACTCTTTTAAAGCAAAAAATACTATTTCGCAATATATATTTTCAAATTTCGCGGTGTTAGTATAATTTTAGTATAATCCGCATCACTGTCTAGTACATTCCAGTAAGGTCGAGTTGGCAGCACTGTCGATATCTTACTCACTGCTACGTTCAGAACAACGCGCATCGTGATATTCGAGAAGCACTCACAAAAAAAGTATTATCAGTGTCTTCGTTTATATTATTCCACTGTGACTAAAACCAAAGTGTTTTATTAAGAGTAATAAGAGAAAGTACAAATAAAGTTATTAGAGATTCAAATTCTAAAAGTGGCTTCAAGTGTTTTCTCCCAAACTAAATATTCCTACACCTTTGTACCTTACGATTAATGAGTTACCATTTCAAATGCGAAAAAAAGGAAAATACCATCTTAGCCGGAATTTGGTACGGAAATAAAAAACCTCACGCAAATAGTTTTATATATGCTTCCCGTGAGTCCTTTAAAAATTTAGCTGAAGGGATTAATATTCTATTACCAAGTGAAAATCGGGTTATTAAAGTGAAGACAATTTTAATTTCAGGAACTTGCGATTTATCTGCAAAATCTCAATTTCTTAATTTCACATAATATAATGAAGATTACGGATGTCCAGCGTGTTACTCCAAAGGTTAAAAGATTCTACTTGACACTCAAGGTTCAGTTCATGTATACAGGTATGAAGATGATATTACATTAAGAACTTCAGAGGAAAGCATAAATTTTGCAAATGAAGCAACTCCTAATGCACCTATAATGGGAGTAAAAGGCCCTAACGCATTCTCAAAAATTATGCCAGATTTTCTTGAGGGCATTGAAATTGATAAAATGCACGGTATAGATGGAGGTGTTGTAAAAAAAATGTTAACCCTTTTCTTCGATGTAAAATACAGTGCACAAGGATTTTCGTTTTACAATTTCATTAATGTAATAAATTCCCACTTGCTTAAAATAAAACCACCAAAATTTGTGCATCGTATGCCTCGTTCGATTCAAGATTTATGCCATTGGAAAGCATCGGAATTGAGATTGTGGTTTTTTTTCTATTCTGCACCGATTTTGGAAGGACTTTTAAGACCTGATTTATTTAATCATTACCTCTTGTTAGTACTAGGCGTATCGTTACTTAGTTTCGAAACATTGTCACCAGATTGTATAAATGTTGCTGAGGATTTATTGAAGAGATTTGTAAGAGAATTTGAAATATTATATGGATTACAGTTTTGCTCTATTAATGTACATCAGATACTACATTTGGTTGATTGTGTAAGACGACTTGGACCACTGTGGACAGTTTCTTGTTATGAGTATGAGAACATGAATGGGAAATTTCTTAAGTTAATTCACGGCACATGGCATATAGACTCACAAATTGCCATATCTTATATTCAGTTTATAAAAATGGTCCATTTTACAGAAAATTTAACCGAAGGTCCAGTTAAAAATTTTTGCTTCAGTAAAAAACATCAGGTGAAGATGAACGAAGACATTGATTTACATTGTTATTCTGTTAGAGTTTATGAAAATTTTCCCCAAGTACCTGTATTCATTCGAAATTCTCTGGCCAGTGCCAATCTGGTTAACTACACGTCTTTGCAAAAATATTGTCGACTACTAAAAAACAAGAAATTATATGTCGCTAAAAGTTATCAACGGTCAGTACAGACTGAATCTTATGTTGTCGGATATCTTCATAATGACGAATTAAAATTAGCTTTAGTGCATTTCTTCGTTAAAATTAATGGAATTTGTGAATGCCACATTCATAATTGTCAATGTCCAAGTATACATGTCGCAATCATTCAAGAAGAATTGTCAGAGGGTTCTTATATAGCTGAAGGTGATAATTATATTTATAATACCAGCAACTTTTTAGTAAAGTGCAGTTTACAGGACACATTTCAAGCAATTAATGTTATGAATCTTCAATGTGTTTGCATCAGAATGATAATTGATGAACAACTCTTTGTTGGCATTCCTCATAACAATATGGAATTAGAATGATATTTGTACCCCCAAAAATATATATTTCAATAAAATTTCACAAAAGGATTCAATTATTGAAAAAGATATTTTAATAAAGTTCGTCTCAGGAATTCAATTATTTTCATAAGTATTCTAATTATTCTCAAAAATTCAATTATATTAAAAATTTACAAAAATTCTCTTCAAAATTTCAATTATCTATATGAAAAATAAAATTCCTCTCTAAAACTCAATTCTTTTCAAAAGTTATAATAAAATTCTTGGCAGAATTTCAATTATTTTGAATACAATTTTTATCAAATTTTTCAACAAATGAAATTATTCTTAAAATTATTATTAAAATTTGTCAAGAGAATTAAATTATTTAAAAATTTTGTTGATAAAATTCTTTATATGAAAATTCAATTATTTAAAGTTTTTAATTTCTAATATAGTTTTAATTGAGGACTGTCAGAATAATCAAAATTTCATAAAATTAAATTGTAAAAAAAAAATTTGAAAATTCTCAAAGAACTTTTTCACAAATTATTTGAAAAAATTCACTAAAAGAAGAATTTTAGTTTTAAATTCTAGAAATGAATAATCGTAATGATGAAAATAATTTTTGAAGAAGTTACAGTAAGAAAGTAGCAAGTTTTAATTATTATAATAATTAAAACTTGCTACTTTCTTACTGTAACTTCTTCAAAAATTATTTTCATTATGTTAGCTTTCTTCATGTTTTAAATTTAAAACATGAAGAAAGCTATCACTCCGAGTCGTTCATGTTTTATGATAATATTCTTACAAGTTATTGAATTTGAAATTTTTGAAAATTTTAATTTCTATATGAAAAATAATAATAATTAAATATTTATTTAACAATAAAGTTATAGATATTTTCAAATAATTTTCGTTTTTTAACCTGGAAAACCTGGAAAAGTCAGGGAATTTGAAAAGAGCAAAACCCTGTATAATGTTAAATCATAAATTCTATTGCGTAAATTCAGCATTGACTGTCTTAAAGAAGTCACGTCTTAATTTAAGACTATATACCTTTTTATTATGATAGAAAATGAAGAGAAGTAATCGAGAATCAATCATATCTATAAGCGAAAAGAGAATCAAGAGAAGTAAATGAGAATTAAAAGTAGTAATAGAGAATCAAGAGAAGTAATAGAGAATCAAGAGAAGTAATAGAGAATCAATAAAGTACCAAGAGAATCAAAGCAGAACCATTAAATAATCAAGAGAAGCAAAAGAGAATCAAAACTTCGACTCGGGTTGTTATTTAAAGAAAACCTAAAAGGGGTGCCCCACTAGCGCAGTGCCAACAACTGGAGCAGTTACCCTATGTTTTAAAAAAATTTTCTCCTTAATATTTTTTAACAATTGTTAATAACAATTCAAATTATTAACAAATGTGAAATTTGACAACAAGTTAAGAAATTACTTTATATACAAGGAAATCCTTAATATGAAACAAGTAGATATGCAAATTAGGTAAAGAGAGACATTCTAATGTTATTTACTTTCGAAAAAGGAAGAAAGCAATAGCGTTAGATTTTCTGCGTTATAAACAGAGAGCGAATGATGTTATTATTACCGAGAAAGAAGAAGACAGAAAGATATTCGAAAGATATATAAAGAGAAACGAAAGGTCTGCTCGAGTACCTGGCCTATTGTTCAAAGGGTTCCTTTTAACCAGTGGGCAGTCTATTGCACAGTGGGCCAGGCGACCTAGTTTGCTGGCCAAAACTCCAAATTTATTTAAAATTGCCTGAAAATTATTACTCAGGGGTTTTTGG